AACCACACAATCCACAATCAGGTGATTAATAAGTCGCAAAACTTTATCTGCATTTGGTGGATTAAATCGTAAAACTTTAGCTTCGTTTGGTGGCACCATTTACTCTAGGTAGACGGCGACCGGTTTCGTTACCGGTTGGCACATTTCTTACAAACATTCAGCCAAAGGCCAGTGAAAGTTGAGACGGCAGCCGGGTTTTTATCGATGTTTGCCATCCTTATGTGCGCCATCGTAAAGTCATGGTTTGCTGGAGTTGCGTTCAATTTAAATCTCCGAACTTCTGAAGCTAAGATATTCTATAAATAGGCTTGTATCGCAGGCTACAATTGAAAAACGGGTGACCAAATAATGAATTAGGTGCTACATTTTGATTTAATGCTGGGTAAGTTAAAAACAGACATTCCGTCCGAGTGGGACTCATTCAAAAATTCGAGGGGGTTCGCTAGAAAAGGGGGTTCGCCCGAACCATAAAACCCCCCCTGGCTACGGGCCTGGTAGTGGAGCCTGAGAGAAGAGAGTCCATGGCTGGGGTGAATGAGGGTGGGAATGAGATGAGCTTAATTGTAGGTTATTTGGTAAAATGTAAACTGCTCCACAAAGCATCTTGACTTTAGAAATGTTAACTTTGTTTCTATTACTTGGTATAAAGGGATTGCTCTAGTCTAGGCCTATGTATTTTTGTGGGAAAGGTTATCCACCCTATTCACTTCTCCCCATCCTAGATCTATTCACTGATAATATGTTCTACGTATAATATTTCTTTTATGATACTTCTTGTGATTATTTTTGTGTGATACTTTCTATGAAGTATTTTTTAAAGTAGAATGATCGATATTGATTTGTTTTAAGTTTTATGTGTTATTATTTTTACAGCACAATCGGACGCCACGTGACCTCTATATACAGAATGAATGTGAGGAGTATGATTCAAAAAATAGAGAAAAACACAAGAAAGAAGTCTTGCAACTTCTGCAAGGTGAGCAGTTCCTACAATTTAATTATTCATGTTATTGTTTATGATTAGGTGGACACACCAAAAGTAAACTTTTAAAGTTGGGGTCCTTTACAGAAAACAAATACTTACAATAAGGTAAATATTTAACATTCAGTGTTAAAATATTCCTCAAGCCCATGTACCTACTTCGGTATTTCTTATCACCCAAATAATTTTGATCTAGAATATCATAAGAGTCAACTTCTAAATGTTATTATTATTATTTGTTTTAATACAGTATTGTTGATGATGATTATGACAATAACAGTGAAAATGATAATATTTTTAAGACAATAGGCAAATCATCTTATTTTTTATAAATGATTATTTCCCTATATCCATTTCTATTATAATAATATTTGAAATTTTATAATGAGTCACTTGCCTTAGGATTGTGTTTTCTTAATTATTTTAACTTTTTAAAAGATTTTTATTCACATGTAACCTGTTTATGTTTTTCCCTTGTACTTTTATTGTTAAAAAACAATATTTTGCCTTTGTAAATTAGACTTTGGAGTTCCAGAGGTAATTTTAGCCAGAGGCAGTGAGGCTCTGAAGGTTTTTAACGAGGAATTACAAGAAGGAAGGATCACAGTAAACCATGCACGATTAATGGTGACAGGCAAAGAGGGGGTGGGCAAGACTTGTTTGGTAAACACTCTGCTTGAAAGAACGTAAGTTTCCGAAGTGCTGTATCTGTCAATGGATTTCAAATATAAATGTTGCTGTATTGCTGTACTTTTTTATACAAGTTTTGTATTTTATTTGCTTTCTATATATTTAAAAAAAAAATACATGATGCCACGTAAATATTATTGTTTCAAACATGCATGTACTTAATTGTCATTACCCATACATCCAACAGCATGTTTTGTTGTATATATTGTACTATAGACTGTATGTCGTAATTTATATCGAACACATCCTTTATATTTATATGTTTGACTTCTTAAAATTGTTCATGCGATGTAATATTCAAATGTAGTTTCCTTTCTGACAATAAAGTTATAATCTTGTATCTACTCTTCTATGTAACCACAACTCAATCATGGCACTTAAATACTACAATATGTACATATACAATTCAACAATTCAAGCAGTAATTACACTGCTCTTTCCACAGATTTAATGAAGAAGAACCATCGACTGATGGAATAGTGTTGACGACTGCTTTTCAAACTACTGATATAAGTAGTGTGTGGAAAGAGGCAGAGGACATGGAC